AATTAATGGTATACATCAGTATGTGGTATTCTTTGTTCAAGAAAGAAATATCCTTTATTACATATGTGTGCATACTCTAGAAGTCTATATGGTAGCCACTGTGACATATAATGAAATGGAGATAGGAAATTACTATATAAAATAGGAAAAACAAAACAGAACAGGAAATATGGACTAAGTCCTTCCTGTTACCGGCAAGGTTCTATGTGACCGGCCTGCCTTCTCTCAGAACGACATAATGCCTGAAATCTCCTTCAAAACAGCCCAGTATAGCAGGCGCTGGGGAGGGGGAAGGCAGCTGGACTCTGAGAATGAAGACATGGCTTGATATTTTTTAAAGTTAGGTGATGGACACATGGGGTTCATTATAGTGCTCTTGTACTTTTAGGTGTGGTTACAATCGATTTATTCAAAGTAAATATTGCAAATATTTTCACACCCAAAGCTGGGAGGCTTAAAGAAAAAAGGCACTCATTTTCTTCCATTGCTGATGAGAATTGAAACTGGTCAAATCATATGGGGCAAGGGAGTTATTTGCAATCTATAGTAGACTTTGAAAGTACAAATTTTTTAAAGAAATATTTATTTTATTTATCATTATTATTTGTAAATAAATTTCCTATAGGGCACACCACTCACCAGAAAGAGCCAGTGAGAGAGAGAGAGAGAGAGATACAGAGAGACCAAGCCACCAGGTCTGGGACAAGAATTGCAGTAAGCCATGTTGGAGTCCAACGCCTTAACTACCACACCACCTGCTATCCCCAAAGAGTGCAAATATGTTTTATGCCACAAATTCTATTTCTACATGTTTATTGTAGGGATAATCAGACATGAGCACTAAGATAAACATAGACATTTGTTCACTAAAATATTATTTTTAATAAGAATTTGTTAAACAACCCAAATGCCTAACAATAGTAAGTAGTCTAAATTAGTTATGGCTAATTCGTTTTATTTATTTATTTATTTTAGAGGGCATGTAGAAAGACTGAGAGAGGAGAAAGCACCCACATAGAGAACAGTCCCTTCCCTGTCTCTCCTACCTTTCAGGATTGGGCTCATGGACACACATACCTGGCACATTTCTCCAGCCTCTTGGGTCCAGCACCGAACAGCACAGTTGACTATGGTGGAATTCAGACGCCTTGACCACCAGGCCACAGAGCTCACCCATTCATTAGATTTTTAAAAGCATTTTGTGTGAGTGTATGTTTTAAATAAAAAGAACATAGGGAACCTATGAAATACTCTTAAAGGTCCTCGCACACTTAAAAAGTATTAATATATTTGAATCCTACAGCTTTTAGTATTTTTGAAATGTAACACAATTACTTGACAGAAGTTATGTGGATTTTCCACTGCATGTCCATAAGAGAGTAAGAAAAGTCAGTGACACGTGGGTAAGCTTAAGATCAATGAGACACCTTTGGCTCATATTTTACTTAAGTTGAATCTTTTCAGTTTTATTCTTAAAATTTGTTAAAACTATCTTTTATAATATAATTTCAATAATATAAGCTATTTAGATATTGTTTCACTTCATGTCTTTAGAAATGCAATTGATGGGGGCTGGCAGGTGGCGTGGTGGTTGGGGTGCTGGACTCTCACCTGGCTGGCCCTGGTTTGAGCACTGGACCTAGAGGCTTGCTTTCTCATTTTTCCTCTCTCTCTTTGGTCAAAATAAAAGAATTATAATAATTATAATAATAAAAAGATAAATGATTCTTAAAAAAAGAAAGAAAGAAAGAAATGTGGTACAGGGCCAGTCCAGTACTCCAGGGGTCAAGGAATCCAGATCCCACATGACCACCCATGTTTGAGTACCAGTCTGGACAGCTTGAAAAACACTGGTGCACATGCTCATGTGCCTAAAGTCCTGGCGGGATGCAGAAATAGAGGAAAGAGGCTGGCTGAGTGACCATGCCCCATTGGAGGGTGTGTGCCTTCTTTACCTCTAACTCTGATGTGTGCACACACCCTTAGCAATTGAAAAAAAAATGCAATAAAATTTACACTCTTTTTACTTTTTCCTACGAATGACTTCAGTAGTCTAAGATTGAAAACAACAAACATTTGTAGGCATATATATGGTCCTGTTACTCCTTTGACTCTATTCATAACGCTTATGACATGCAGAACTCAAAGAATGGACAAGATATTCTAAGCAAATAGTTCATCTCCAAAACCATTTGAACAAAATAACAAATCCAAAACAAAACATTATAAGATCCAAATCCACCTTCAAGTATTCTCAAAGGAAAATATATATTCACAAATTGTAACAAGACTTCAACAGCCTTTCCTGTAGAGTATATTGTGGAAAGGAAGTAAGAGCCAAATGAATGTTTTATTGTTGAGAAGGATAGTCTATGCAATTATGCTGTATGTGAAATATGGATTTTTAAATAAGGAATAATGATCACTGCATAGCAGATGGCCAGTATTTCGCAATCTTGGTGTTAAAACACTATTTCCCCTCTGACATCTTGAATCCATTATAAAGAAAAGATCAGGCCCGCAAGTATGAAAGATTCTGGAAAAAAAAAAGATTAAGTTTTGCTTTCCAAAGAGTTCAACCAGGTCAGGTCTAACGATAATAATGCTTTATTAAAAGAAAAAGAAATCTCTCTTTCTATATATACATATGTATGTATTTTTTTAAAGAAAAATCTATTCAACTTCTCTGTTATCTTAATGTAAAAATATAAGCATCTTCTACTAATAGTAGAGATATAGATGATTCAGACCAACCTCTTTTGAAGGCAACGAAAACACAGCAGGCATCAGCATACCTTTGAAACTATAATTGACCCTTACATAATAAGAGAGTTAAGGGTGTTGACCACACTCCCCAGCTCCCATGCAGTGGAAAATCCACATAACTTCTGACTTCCTCAAACCTTCACTACTAATAACCTGCTGACTGGAAGCCTTTACTTTTAGTATAAGCAGTTGATTAAGATATATTATATATATTCTATGGATTATATACTCTATTATTACAATAAAGCATGCTAGAGAAAAGAAATTTCATTAAGAAAGTTGTAAGAGAGAATACATTTATAATATTTATTGCAAAACATCTGAATATAAGTGGACCCATGCAGTTGAAACCCATATTATTCAAGGGTCATCTGTATTTCTAGGTTTTTTTTGGGGGGGGGTTTGCTATAGGGCGAGTGCTCTGGCTCGGCAGGCAGAGAGAGACAGAGAGACAGAAAGCGAGAAATCACTCCCTAAGTGGGATGGCCACGCTGCAATCCCCTCTCCTTCATTCTCTTCTCAGGATCTTGGGCACGCATGCACACACGTGAGTTTAAGCTGCTAGGTCTGGGACTCGAACCGTGGTCGACTATGTGGGAGTCCAGCGACATAGCCATTACGCTAACTGCTGGTCATCTGTATTTCGAGTTTTTTTTGACACTCAGGAATACCAGCACAACACAGTCAACACAAGCTTTTCCCCAGAAAGCCCATGAATTTTTGTGGCCGCATTCTTGTAAAAATCCCTGGCCTCACTGGAAGGGTCAATTTATTAAAAGGCACTTGTCTAACCTATGCAGGATAAAGTCCACCGATTCTCAGAATAAAGCCTTATTTCCTGCTGGTTCCAGCATGCATTTGGCTTGTATGAGGAGAATAGACTGTAGCTGAGAGTGAAAGGGTAACAAGGACCTCTAGGTTGCCAGAACCTCAGCATACTCCATAACGGAAAATACGGAAAGATTAAAAATAAAAACCTAGTACGATTAAAGTATTGATAAACAAAGATAAAAATATAAAGCAGCACCAAACAAATAGCTATAATACACTAAGCACCAAGTAGAAAAACAAAAGCAAAATAACACCCCAAACCTAAAATGAACAGACTTTAAGTCAAATAAGCAAAAGATACATCATGAAAATGAAACATAGTAACGTAAGAGTTACAAATTAACTATGTATATACATTAGAGCTATTTATTATTGAGTGCAGGTAAAAATGAAATGGGTACCCTCATACACATTAGGTATATGATTTTTTATTTGGACAATAGTTGGATAGAATGCATTAAAAAACTGTCTTCTAACCAATCAAGCAAATCAGCATCTAAAAATCTGCTACATATGCATGAATGTGAATATAGAGGTATGTTCTCCAATGCACTATTTACCAACAGAAAAAGAGCTAAGTAAATTTGGATACATCTATTCTCTGAATTCTCAAACTTAAAATAAAAATGAGGTAGATTTTTCATGTACACCAAATATTCATAATTAACTAAGCAAATAAGCAGAATTTGCAGATAATATGTGTAATATGCTGGCACTGGCATTAAACCTAACAAAAAGGTGAAGTTAGATTAGCTAATACAAATAATACGTATTATGCACATATACACAGCACAAAGGTAACCAAAGAGTTAACAGCCTTTATCTCTTTAACACTAGGGTTTGGGGAAGAGTTGAAGGGATCGCTCTACCTCTTCTGTTACGTTCTATTGTTTTTTTATTCTGAATTTTCTTCTAGCCAAGTTTATATATTAGCTTTGCCATGAAAATGTCCTATATATACTTTTAGGATAGAAAAAGAGAGTTATCGGTGATCTGCCAATAGAAAAATAGTAAGTTCTTTAAGTTAGGTCATCTCAAGCACAGATTATTACATATTGAAAGAACAGATTCTTATGTATAATATTATTATAACCTTTAGTACTTAGTAGATGTTAAATTTTAAAAAGTTTGTGAGATTACTCCATCAGAAAAGGGCAAAATGAGGTTTACTGTTAGAGTTATTTAGAATATCAGTGAATACACGCTCTTAGACTTTTGGAAGATAATAGGATGTGAAAGGGTTTCAAGGATAACTGAAATTATTCTGAAGGTACTATCGCTATTCTCATAAAATAGCCAAACACAGTAAGGAAAATGAACTATCCTTTAGGGTAATAAATGCATAAAGAAGGTCCGTAAAAGTAATATGACGGTTTACTTCATCAAACAAAAGCCGTACTTACCGTAAGAGGCAGCCTGAACTGGACCAAGTTGTGGAAAGGTCATAACAGCAGACATTTCTGGCAGACTGCTTTGCTTCGGGTGTTCAGCAGTTTGGTCAGCCCATACGACCACTTTTTTCCTCTCTACCAAATGTTCAATTTCTTTGAAGTCAGAGTCGAAAGCAGCATTTGACAAGCCAGCCTCTTTTAATGTGTAATATTGTTTTCTTAAGGCTGGAAGTAAAGCATTCAATACTCTAGGTACAAAAGGTGACGAGAAAGGAGGGGTAAGTACTCAGGTTCAAATATATTACTGTGCTTCTTTTACATAACACAGTGTCAGCTCATCATTAAAAGAATTCCCTGTATCCATTTTCTCGTGGGATGTTATTTTAATCCAATACTTCAACATAATTCTTAATACTTTGAATACAGAATGGAAAGGACCGTGGGTGGGAAATGATGAGAACCACGCTCTAGTCTCAGTCTTTCCTCGTTTTTCAATATGACTTTAGATGAGGCACAAACCGAAGTTTTTCCTCTAAACAACTAGACAGCCACAACTTATTAAAAAGAGATGTTTCAGAACTAAACAAGTTAAACACATATAACAGCTTTTAAAAAAACACAATGTGATTTTTAAGCCACAGATATTGTTACTAATTTTCATGGGATTGAAATAAAACATTAATACACTATGGCAATTGATGAGATTCGTATTTTAGGTACATATATCACCAAAACACATACACAACACAAGAATAAAAGCCAGTTTTTTTTTTTTTAAGGTAAAAAATGACATGAAAGTAATGGCTTTGAGAATAGGATGTGAAATGGTTTCAAGGAGAAAAGCTGTGAACGAGGCTGGTGGGCATAAGGAATTGATGAGGCACTGAGCTTTGGCTCTGACTCAAAAGTCTCCATCCCCAACAATCAGAGCAGAATTGAATGTCCCCTCTAATGTAGTAGACCTCATGTAAGCACTTACTGAAGACATGTCACAGCAAAATTCATATACTCAACCAATGCTTCCTAATTTTTTTTATTACAGAAGCTGAACAATATAAATGACCTTGAAGTGATTCACCTATGGTATACTGAGGCAGCCAATAGATGATGTTTGAGTTTGCTCATAACAGCCAGAAGAACAGATTCATTTGAAGCATGGACAGGACAATGGGAAAAGAATAACTAGGCATTGATTTTACACACAAGGAAATAACTACACAGGAGTCTTAAATATTTAAATAGCAGGACAAATAACTGGTGATTTTTTTTCTTCTTGGTGGGGTGATGATGGAGGGTATTTTTAAGCCAAGTAGGTAGACATATAGGCAACAGTTATTAACCAAAAGTCAATAAAATAATCGCTTATTGAGCACCGACACCGATTACTCAGATACTGTGTAGACGTGTCACACACTAGGCCTGAGATGGCTAAGAAAGGTGTGCTTGCGGACTGGCTGTTGGCTGGTCTTGAAACCTGGGTTTTGGGAGGGTCCTACTGCTTTCTGAACAACTATGACAAGAGTGACTCTCTGTGCTTCAACTGTACAGAGGATGCGTTTATGTCGAGCACCTGCTTCCCTTCTAAGACCCAGAAGTTTTGGTACATTCTAGCACAGGTGCCTACAGGACTAGTGGCTGTTAACGATAAGGGTACTGGGTCTCTGAAGAGCTTCCATAGGAGTGCTCACATACCCTGAAGGGGCTCGGCACATCCTGTGTGATGCCACTGTAGGAAGGCTTGAAAACCTTGGGCCTGGTGCCTGGTGCCCTCCAGACTTGGCCCTGTGTGCCTTCTTTCTGCAGATCTTATCTGGCGCCCTCTGACGGTGATACGGCATGGCTGTGAGAACGACGCCATGAGCCTTGAGGCCTCCGAGTGGATCACGATACCTGCCCATGGTCTTGGGGACTCAGGTCACAGGTACTATATCACTGTTATGTAATTCTCTTAAGATGTTTATATAAAATGCATTATAATTTATGTTTTTGTATTAAAACACTAAGGCTTAGTTAAATAATTTCTGCAAGGTTATATTGCTGACATAAACCAGAATTTAAAACTGAGTCCAAAACTCATAGACTCCCTACACATTACCTCTGTGGTGCTCTGGTTCACCGATTTCCTAAAAAAATTAGTTAGAATCTTTTATTTATTTTTTTCAATTTTTAAGGCAAAAGTTTACTGTAATTGCATTAGGAAAAAATATTACTTAAATATCTATTTATTTGTTGTGATATTTGTGACAACGGATCCAGGACTTGAACCATGGTTGGCCATGTGGGAGTCCAGTATTTCACTGACCATGCCACCTGCTGGCCCCTACTGTAAGTGTGTTAATCTATGTGTCTGATACAGAAATATAGTTAAAATACACAAATATTTCTTTGATGACTTTAGTTCTTAAGGTGGTCCGAGTGCTGGCAAATGAATATTCAATGTCAGCTCTAGGTAGAGACTTAGAAATTATGAGGTTTTATTTATTTATTTATTTTGGTACAGGGCGCGTGCCCTCACCAGAGAGACAGAAAAGTGAGAAATCACTCCCCGGGGGGGATGGCCACGCCACAATCCCTTCTCCTCTCAGGATCTTGGGCACGCACGCACACACGCCCTGTGTGAGTTTAAGCCACTGGGTCTGGGACTCGAACTGCGCTTGACTACATGGGAGTCCAGCGACACAGCCATTACTCAAACTGCTGGTCCCACGAGGAGGGTAGTTTGAGTTGCACCTATAGAACATCTCCCTGAAGTTTTTCAGTTACTGCTGCTGCTTCTACTTTTTTTCCCCCCCTAGAGGGCACGTGCACGAAAGGATGAAAGACAAAGTACCCACATGGGGCCTGGTCACACTGCAGTCCTTTCTTCACGCATCAGGATCCTGCGCGCACAGGGGACCGCGGGGTCTGGCCCCTCTGTGCAGTGTGTGACTGCCGTGCCACAGGGATGGCTCTCTTTTTTTGTGAAAACAGTCAGACCAGCATGGTCTAAGCAAAAGCACGGACAATTAATGCTCAGCCATCTGAGAGCACTAGTAGAACTTCAACAGATGTTTTAGGTGACACAAATCCCTTAGAGAAATAAATTTTCCTTTTATATAGAACATCATCATGATGTGTAAGGAGTTGATGGAGTTGTCTAAGGGGACCAAAACAATTAAGCCGTACAGTTTGTTGGATTTTTTTAGTATGATGCTTTAAAACTTAGATGATTAAATGCTAGTACTGAGTTGGTAGAAAGCACACAATAGCTGCTAATAACATATCCTAAAAATCGGACCCAGGTCAGCCTTGGTGGCGCAGCAATGCCACCATACTACATGATCCCAGGTGTGCATTCTGAGGTCTCCTTGCACACTCCGGGCACTTGCAGGCATGCCCATGACCCTGGCTGGCTGCAGGTGGGATGTGTTGCAAGGGCTCTTAGGGATGGGCCGGCTGGTGTGGTTAAGGGAGCTGGATCCCGCATGGCTGACTACATGGTTCAAGTCCCAGATCCAGTGGCTTGACTAATACATGAGGCATGTGTGCATGCCTGCCCAAAATACTGAGGAGAGGGACAAATGGAGAAGGAACTGTGGCCTGACCATTCCCCAAGGACAGTGCTTTCTACCTCCACCTCAGTCTCTCTGGTGAGCCATGTGCTCTCACACAAATTAAAAACGTAGTAATAAAAATAAAGACTCAGTTGGGCTGCCCATCTCTTTCTCTCACATTAGGAAAAAAAAATAGTGCAGTGGTGCAAGCAGTGGGACACTGCTGTGTAATACTGGAGCAAGGGGCCACTGCTGTGTAATACTGGAGCAAGGGGGACACTGCTGTGTAATACTGGAGCAAGGGGGAACGGCCCAGCATTTGAATCCTGGGTTGACCTTGGCAGGGTGGAAGGGCCTATAATCTTGACTGGCTGGAAGGCCAAGGGGAGCAAGGCAGTGGGGGAAGACTCTGTCAAAGGTCTCTGTCATTCTCTTTCTCTCATGAAAGAGAGAAAGAAAGAGAACAAGAAAGAAAGGAAAAAGAAGTGAAAGAAGGAAGAAAGGAAAGAAAACAACTAAGCAGCCATTGTAAAAAAAAAAAAAAGAGTTGGAAAGAAAGTACTGTATTTTTCATTTTCTTTAAATGTTTTCCAACTGCAAGTTTTTGGACAATGGCAGTCACTTAAAAAAAAACTGAACTTCTGTGCTTCAGTTACTGGAGGGCTAGAGCGTTACCATTTGTAGAACAGGTGAACCCACAGACTTACGCCTCAGTCTGCCTGTGTTGCTGTTCTTGAAGACAAGCTAGATCCAACATATGTCTAATCTGTGCTTTCAAATCTTTGTTCTCGAGGTGCAAATGGTGAAAATGAAGATCTTTATTGAGTTCCTAGGGAAAACAATGCAAAAATATACTTTAGATTCTTTTAAGAATATTGAAATTAATCAATTGTGATGAAATTATTTTATATTGCTACCTATATATATATATTTTAAGATATGAAATAATATGTCTATAAACAATTTGAAAAACATGAGTTTTGGTGTTGAGTCTAGAACTCACAAGCAAGAAAAGGTTTCAAGTTTCCACTGAAACTGAACGTCCCAAATTCAGAAGAAATTTTAGTATAACTTCTTAGTCTATCCAACTTATCCATAATGTTGCACATGAACAAGACCAGTATTTGCTTAAATATTAATCTCAAGAAGACTCTTTCTGAGCATTATATTTAAAGATGGATACTCTCTACACAGAATATTGTCATAGCATCCACTGATCAATAACGATTTCATTTATCTACAGCTTCTCTGTCTATACTGTAACACACGGTTTGGCACCAGGAGAGTTCAGTTTTATAGCCCCAGCAAACAGTGTCTGGAGTTACATGTGAAACAAACTTCTCGCTCACACCTACTCTGGGGACAAGCTCCATCCTGGGAGAAAGTGGGAAGTCTTTTGTAGGCATCGATTTTCCAAAGCTTCCTCTGCTAACAGTCAGGGGTCCTCTAATTTGCCACCAAAATGAAAAAGAGGGAACATTTCTGGACATTTTGAAGACTGTGATGGCAGCTGCATAAGCAGGGAGGTTATGCCTGAAAACTTTCTCCTAGGGACAATTCTCAAATCCATTTTACTCTTGGATATTCCTTGCGAATACGTAGTGAACCATTGATTCACTGAGAGCTCCAAGTTGTTTCTTTTATTTTTAAAAATACTTCTGCAAGTAATGGGACAATGATAGAGAAACATGTTATTCTACTTGTCTGAGATAATAAAGACAGGGGTTATTTACATAATTCACAATTATAATTTAAGAACTATAGCAAATTTTGTATGATTTTGGATAAACCAACAACAGTCTTTTAATTTCTCATTTGTAAATGTATTTGAGACATTATAAACATAAGAGAAATGCTGTATTCAAAGACCTGACAAATAATAATGGTTGGAAATAATAGTTTAGTAATATTCTAGATATTAATAGTCAAAGCAATTTGTACACAAGAGGAGGACAACAGAGTAAAAAAAAACCTCGTCTTTCCAGACTCCTTTATATCCAGGGATAGCCATATGACATATTCTTGTTAAGAGTGAGATCTTTGTTATAGGGCACATGTGCTCACCAGAGAGACAAAAAGTGAGAAATCACCCCCCAGAGGGATAGCCATGCTGGAATCCCTTCTCTTCCATTCTCCCCTTGGGATCTTGGGAACGCACACACATGTACCTGGCGTGAATTTACACTGTCAGGTCTGAGACTCAAACCATGGTTGACTATGTGGGAGTCAGAGAGGTAATCGTTATGCTATCTGCTGGCCCCTGCCGTGTGGCATATTCTAAATAATAGTCTGTTAGGAGTGTCTGGAAAGTCTTTACTCTCCCAGTACAGGCATTTCTACCCCCTTTTCTTTTTTCTTCTGGCTTAAGTGTGAACTTAGGACTAGAGAAAATAGTAACAGTACGATCGTGGAATGGCAAGTGTAACGACACTGAGGATATTCTGAAGTACGCTTAGGAGCAAGCTGCATGTTTCCAGGACTTATTCTTAAGGGGGCAAGCCACAACCCAGACTGGCCAGGGCATAGAGGTTGGATTACTGACTTTGTAGCAGAACATTAAGGCACTAAAGTCAGATTTCGGATGACGGAACATAACCATTACTCATCACTACACTGTATAACTTTGTTGCTGCACTTCGCACTGCCGTCTGCTATTCTAAGGTGGAATATCTTTGGTTACACACACACACACACACACACACACACACACACACAACATTCAAATTGGCTTTCTAGTGGGGTAATATCTTTGTTTACACACACACACACACACACACACACACACACACAACATTCAAATTGGCTTTCTGTAGCCATAATGTAATTAATAGTGACCACATTTAAAACTATTTTTGTACAATATCAATATTTAAATTACTTATACTATGAATTTAGAATTAGTTTGAAACAGAATTACTTCATTTTCATTTAAGAGCTACCTCTTAGGAGGCAATTGCTTAAGAATCACAACCATTAAAAGTAACTTTACTCTTCTAAAAGTACAAAAAAGGCAAACCTAGTAGATAATTAGCAACCAGAAGTTATAGTCAGTTAAAAATAGTAAAATAAAGCCAGTCCATGGCATGGCGGTTAAGGTGGCTAGATCCCACATGGCAACCATGTGGTTTGAGTTCCCAAACTGGCAGCTTAAAAAACATACCAGGTGCACATGCATGTGTGCCCAAACTCCTGAGAAGAGAGAGAGAGGGCAGAGAAGGGATTTCAGAGTGACCCGTTCCACTGGGGAGCGCTTTCTCACTTTCCCTTTTTCTCTGTTTGCAGGAGCAGAAGCACCCTGGCAAAAATGAAAAACAACACACCACCACCAGTAAAATACATCAATGAAATATAAAAATGGAGCAATAGATGTCTTATTAAAGATATTTACTCAACGAGGTAACTGGTTTAAAAAGCTCAGTTCTTACAAGGTCAATCTGAACATACAAAATACACCGGTACCTTCGGAATACGTCCATTCTGACCTAACAGCTCCATTTCATTTTCAACACGATGGAGCCAATTAGTATTCTCATCAAATTGTTTCAATTCCTCCTCTCTCTTTTTCTCCAGGTAGCAACGACGAGTTTTCAACATTGCAAGTTTATTATCTCGTTTGCAAGTGGCCTGAAACACAATACATTTAACATTCACCCTAATTTGTATGCCATTCGACGAATGTGATATTCCTTAGAAGTGTGCTATTGTAGTCTATCACGTTAGGCTATACTTTTGTATTTAAAGCCGTTTCCCCTTTGAAACTTCACAATATACTGCTTGCAGGAAAAGAAGAAATGGAGCTGTGAGTCATTTTTATAAAATTACATACATTTTATAAAATACATTTTATAAACTTATATAAACTTATGGCTTTAAATAATACAATGGCTAAATCAATCCTGTAACTTTTTGTGTATGTGCTAAAATACATTTCTTTCAGCATGCTACATTTGAAATGCTTATGCAAGGTCAAGTAAATTCCAGGATTTTCTTCATCAAAATCAAAGCAGTCCATATCATGCTCTTGTCTTTTCTACAACTTTAAAGAGGTGAAAAAAACAGTGTTCTGGTGCTCCGCTTTTGCCTGCTATGCCTTAAATTGGATGATACAAGTGGTAGAGAAGACAGTGTATGCCAGAATGCTTATCAGTATTCTCATTTTGCTTAAAGGTTGGTTCAGGAACCACAATGGACACGTTGAATATTTTGGTGTTTTATCTATATTTGCCTTGAGATTAAAACTGGTCTTTTGGTTTTTATTCCAAGGATCTACTGCACACTATTATGGAAACTGAGGGCCAGAATAGCTTGACCTCCTTGGGCTATTTTCCAAAAGACACCCAATAATGGTCAGATATGAAGTGTGGAAACCATAGATCTCCATAGATTAGAACCAATATTTACAGCTGGTTTCAGAAGTAGAGAATGAAAAAAAAAAAAAAAAAAAAAAGAGCAGAAACTAGATTTAAACTTGGTCAAAGACCTTGCTTACTCTGATAGGGAAACAAATTCTTTTTATTAAGTTTATAAATAATGCATTATTGCTACTGAATGTTAAGACTCAGTAGAGTCTATCTCAGTTCATCTGAGAAATGAAGGGGAAGGTAATACACCTGCCTAAAGGCAGGCAGCTAAATTAATTAATCTTTAATTTGCTATAGTACTTATAAATATTACAGTGATGCTTAGAAACCAAGGCATAAAATGATGTATGGATCTGATGGAAGCAGTATACTGGCAAGTGCAAACTCCAAGTATGTTTTGACCATCCTCTATCTGGTCATCTACAGGAGCATTTTCTCCAGGTACCCTACAGAACCACTGTGCTGAAACGTGTATGCCAAATCTAATGTTAAAGTGAAATGCTCCCCATTATGGTTTCAAAAGAGCTTTATGTTTCATTAACAAAATCCTCAGAACACTATAAAAGTCTTGAGAGAGAACAAACACATAATTATAAAATTTGTGTTTGATACTTTTGTGCAGAAGAACTGCTAACATTGTAAACTCACATTTTCTCACTAAAAATAACATGATCCAGCAATCCCACTCCTCGGTATCTACCCAAAGAACAGAAGAATTCTTCATTGGAAAAGTGCTTGCACATCAACGTTTATTGCGGCACTATTCACGATTGCTAAGACATAGAACCAAACCAAATGCCCTGGATGAATGAATGGACTGAAAAATTGTGGTATATATACTCCATGGAATATTGTTCAGCCATAAAACCAACAAAACCCTGGCTTTTGACAGAAAGTGGAAGAATATGGAAGATTCACTGCTGAGTGAAGCAAGCCAGGCTATGAAGGAGAGGCATTGTATGTCCCCGCTTAATACATACCGAGTGTCTGCACTCTATGACTGAAACTGACTAAAGGTTGTACAAACTAAGAGATAGGTATGAATGCCAGATACGGTGTGTGTGGAGGAGTGGGGCCTAGAGAAGGACATATGGAGGAGGGATATGGAGGCAGAGCATTGATGGGATGGGGAGGTGTGGTGTCATCAGATGAAGATATTTTGATCAACTGGATTGGGGAGAAATGTTCACATATTGAAATGTTCACTTTATAAACTAAATAATGTGATTGAATGTATAAAAAATTTTTTTTAAATATTACAAAATAGAAAAAAATAAATAATTTTTCAGATTATCCTTTAAAAACATTGTTTATTCACGATAGCTCATGTATGAGAGAGAGAAAAAGAGAAGGGGAGAGGAGGAGAAAGAGAGCGAAAGAGAAAAGCAACCTTGACCTGGTCCCGTCAGGTGGTAATCCCGGTCCTCCAGACTTATAGCTCGGCAGGAGCTTAGGGGTGTGTGTGAGCACACCATGTGTCTCGGGATGGTTCAGGAGGGAGATCCACACCTGAGGTTGAGTATGTGGCCCCAGCACTGTAGTCCAGGACACAGACTGTGCCCACAGGCTGGGTCCATTACTTAAGAGTTTCACTTCAATACTAATCTGAGTCATACACCAGAACTATTTATAGCTAAATCAATGTTATGAGATTGTTTTAGTACTTCTGATAATAAACCTTTTTGAAGAAAGACCAAACATATAATTCCTTGCCACAGAAAGCAGTTTAGTAAGATGATAGTTTACTGGTACTTCTGTGTGAAAACAAAACAACTCAGCCTCTAGATGTCTTCCTATGTTTTCAACAGCTTAACAACAACTAACGTAGGAATTCCTATCTTCATTGCTTAAGTGGTCCAATAAAACAGCTGTAAGAATTGGGAATGGGCCAGGTGATGGCACAATGGTTAAGGTGGCTAGACCCCAGATAGTCAACTGAGTGGTTCAAGTTCTGGCCCTGGTGGCTTGAGAAACATGCTGGGCGTGTTTCTCTCCTTTGTGTGCCTCAAAGGAGAGAAAAATGGAGGAGAGGGGATTACAGCCTAATTATTACCCATGAGAGGTTGTTTTCTCACTTTATCTCCCAACCTTCTTCCTCTTTGTCTCTCTCAGGTGAGAATATGTGCCCTCCGGCAAAAAAAAAGACTTGGGAATATATGGATTAAATGACCAAAAATAAGAAATCATAACAGGCAACAGGTTTGAAAAAAGGCCCCTTCTAAGCAGAAGGTTAAAGGTGGAAACAGAAGCAAATTACATCAGTCAAGTCCATTCCATTCTTCAATGTCTTGCTCTTTCTAGACATCCACATTCAAAATTCAATGGGGGAAATAATTATCTAAAGTTTGGAATTAAGTTGACTGAGATTACTAATTGTATAAATAATATTAAAATGTTTTTAAAAATGGCATTGTAATTTTAAGTCCTGATATGCTAGTCCCTTGCTTTGAAGATTGCCTTTTGACAACAAATTAGATTCTAAATACCCGGCAACCAGTATTTCTACAATCCTTCTCACTACCCAATCTTCCCAAATTATTGTTAATAAATGCCAATATGGCAAACATGTCTTCTATCACATGCCAATTCCAATCCACTCATATTGACTAGCTCTGGCTACTTTCAGATCCAAAGAGAGAGAATTGCAATGAACTGACCATATCTCCTACGGGTACAGGAATGGGAATCGCCAGGAAGTGTGAGTATGGTTATGTGCTTCTATACATACTGCCGTACAAATATGCCCTGCTTTTGTTAGACTGATATCCCATTTGTTTTTTTCTCCCCACTGATACTCTCATGCAAGGCCCAGTACAAATCTCACTTTTCCACTGGAAAGCTTTACTTCTCACTGGAAAGCCACTGTTTTCCCTTCTGAATAGCTGTATTGCCCTTACAACTCTCACAGTACAGTAGAGTGATTAACGGTGCAGACTCTGAAGTCACACAGCCAGGGCTTAACGTAGCTTTAGTCTCATAAATTAGTAACTCAAGACAACCTAACTGAGTTCTCCATGCCTTTGTTCCTCACAATTGGTGATCATATTGGATCTATATCATAGGCTTGTTATGAATACTAAATGAAATATATGCAAAGGACTTTAAAAACATTATCTGGCTCATAGTGTTCAACATTAGCTGTTTTTGTGCTTAAACTGCTATTAACATGATAACCATGTACGGCCTGGCCACTCTGATGATTTTACCGCTCCAGCTGGCATGGAACTCGAAGGGCGCACACGGTTTTATGTCTGTATTTACCCCTGTGTGTCTAGCACAAGGCTTTCTACATAAACAAGAGAGTAACATGTTGGGACAGTAAGCTGTTAAAAATTGAGATTTAAGTCAGGATCAGCTTCTCATGACTGCATTTCTTGCTTTCTGTCAAAAAGTAATCGAAAACTGCACATTGAAATAACTGATGCTTAATTAATGGATGGCAACATAAATTGAAAAGAGGAATTACTAATCTCACTGAAAATTACTCGATAGGAGGTGATAACAATTGAAATAATATTACATCTAGTAACTGCGTGAAATGGATTCACCACATAGTGACATAAGCAACCTTGTCTATGAAATCACTAGAACTTAAGTTTCCTGTTCTTACGTTCTCTAAAATTTAATTATAAAATTATTAAATACCTTCTCTACTTTGTCTTCAGAACACATCATTTCTATTTGCTTATGGCACTGTTGTTGATAGAAGGATTTGAGTTCATTTTCCTTAAGTAACATTTCCAACTTCAGATATTCTTGTCTGAGTTCCTCTCGATTCTGGAACAAGCAGTTCAGAATTTCTTGAAATCTATTGAAAATAAAACACGTTACAGAATTTCATGAATTTTGCAATTAATTATACAAACTTTACTTAAAGAAATGCATGAATAAAAGAATATATACCATTCACAGAATTACACTCAATAGTAAGTATCACATAGGTTTCATGCCGTTTTCTATTTCAAAAATGTTTAGAAAGGTTATTACCTATTTCTGCCATGTTAGATTTCCCTCATGATGTTTAGATCCAAGTATCATAGGCCCTCTGATATTAGTAACATGCTGAATATTTTACCTCTGCCTACATTTTTACTCTAACAGCTTAGTAAAAATAAAATATTTTATGTTTGCAGGAAAAGGCTGATGGCTTGGACAGGTCCTCCTCTCCTGATTTCCACAGCCCCTGTGTGATGCAGCGTCGTGGGTGCTGTACTGTGGGTTCACCAGGAAAAAATGAGCAGGAGGAGGCGTAACCCTACGGGACATCCATAGTTCCCCAAGGGAGAGTGAGAGTCAGTTTTTAGCTTCAGAATCTGTTTTGGTGGAGACACACCATACGCCTAGGTATCCTCTACAGCCTGGCTAGGAGTCAGCTGACAATGCTGGGACCAAGACATTCAAGATCCTGATGTGGTAAACCTAGAAAAGTCCTATGGTGTGCTCCCTCCAAAGAGTCACAGAAATCTGGAGAATGAAAGTTGGGGAATTTGTTCAAATCTCCAGATGTCCAAAGACTTAAAGTTGATTAACTCACACAAAAAACTCTGGATGGAACCTGCCATCCTGCACCCCCAGGGTCAGCAGAACATTGGTCCCTGCAAAATCTAAATCATAACAAATATATATATTTGCCCTTTCAACTCATGGTTCAGCTCCCCCAGCTATAGAAATAGTGTAAACAGTCAGTCACATACAGGCAAAAATCTCACAGAAAAATTACTGCAAAGCCTTTAAAATAAAATCAAGTATGTGCATTTAAAAATAAATGTTCTTTGGCCAGAATTTTAGATATATTTGTAAGGGTCTGTGGTAAAAATGGTGCCAATTTACGTCAGTAGTTCTTAATGAAACTCTATTGGGGATGAAAATAAACCACAAGACATCGACTTTACTGCAGTTTAGTCAAACTGATAAATATTTCATAGAAAATATGTACGGACATTGCAATTGCATTGTATTATATTACGCCAACCTAATGCCAGTAAATGAATTGATAAGTTATCTTTAGGTTACACCCAAAGACAATTCCTTATTTTTTCTGTAACTTTTTACCTAAGGACAAGTGAAATATTTGTCATCTTTGTAATTCTGTGGTCCACTCTTAATTTAGTTGGGAGTATTTACTGATCAGGCTGGAAGGGAGGAAATTACTACTTACCAAAAGTTTCTAGAGAGTGCCTTAAAACAAACAAAAAACCCCCTCAAAACTACCATTTTAAAATGCAAAATGCCATAAGGTATTTACCAATAACAACTATTTTGTAGTCAATTAAAATATTCCAGTGAGGTAGAAAATAAAAATTTGTTTCATTGCTTGCAGATGGGCAAATAATGGATAATGAATTTTAAACTGAACACACACAACTTTCTTAGTACAGTTACAAGTACTTTTATAATTACTCTTTATAAAGAGCTATATTTTCTTTTTATGATTTCCTTCTGAATACTATTTTTCCAAACAGCTTTGCTAGATAGCAAATACTGTATATTCTTCCCTCTGTCTGTTTGCACTTTATAATACTTTACATATTTCTTGCAGGAGATACTACTTTTGAGGAAACAGCAAATGTTATGTGATATATAATTTATTATTATTATTTTTTATTATTATTTCTTATTATTGTGAAATACATAATTTACCTTCTTCATATACACAAGTAAGTTACTTATCATGTTGCCAGAATTAAAATGAAAGTTTTATTATTGATCAAAGGTCAGGTTGAAATCAGAAAAATATCCAAGTAAGTGCTTATTTCATATATCCCTTCTGAATCATCTTACGAGAAGGGAAGGTTCAATGATTTAAAGCCATCAATTGTGGAAAAGTTTACTAATTTGTAAGGTTTTAATTAGTAAAGTAGACTTGATTAAGCAGTGCTAAACAATTAACTTCTTCAGTTTTCAAGAAACTTGCTTAACAATTGTAACTAGTTGCATGAGGACCATTCCCACGTTTCAGTAGCAAAATGAAATAATAACAACACAACTATTAATAACATGTTGGAGTTGAAAGCTTTCTTTGATGAGACTAAGTAAATAATAATGAATCACTTTACTTATTTTTTAATAGATACTAAAATTGTTGGGAATTAAAAAAAAATCAATGAAACATATCAACAATTTTATCTTGAACTTTTAGAGGGGTTGATAGAAAATAACACACTAGAAAATCTCTAGTATAAAAAAAGTCTTGCACTGTGACAGTACATAGGTCAAACTTATGCTGTACTAAAAACTGAGACCCTGATAGAAATAACTGTTGTAATTACTTCTTATATTTGCAATGCTGCATAGTATCAGGATGCAAAGATGAGGACTTAAAGACATGTCAGTTCTTGCCCTTGTCTTGTAAGCAGGGAAACAAGACCTCCTTGAAGACTATTTCAAAGGGTGATTATAGTGATCAGAAGAAATTAATATGGCAGTAAAAATGATCAAAAAACTGTAAAGTCATTTATAAAAATAAATGACAACTGGTTATTTTAGAATCAGGAATCAAGGAAGGAAGAAAAAAATATTTTTCATATCAGGGATACTTATTTAATAGTTTGATGTAAAGTGTAATTTGAAAAAGTTGTGTAAATCTTTCTGTTTTCCGCCTGGAGAGCATGAGCCTTTCTATTCTAGAATTCCAAACCTGTGAATAAGCACTCGTTTACGCTGTGGCTTTTTTAAAATACCAATTACAGATAACTGGCTCTAGACAATGTCAAGAATTAACTTTACTCAACTTTCATAAAAATTGGAAAGATTCATTTATTACAGGGTCTCCCAGAGTCATTAATATACTGATATACTCTAGGAATCTCTTAGCTTCCTTAAGTAAGAAGTAATTCTCAAACCTGTTTGATTCTGGAATTTCTAGCACAACTCAGAATTAACATTTCTAAATCTAATGTCCAAATGGGTCAATTTGGAAAACCGTCTTAATTACTTGGGGAAAAACTACTTTTGAGTACTAGTTATTATTACTTTTTAAATTTAGCATGTGGATGTACAAGTGAGAGTGAGAAAGGAAGAGAGTTGAGTTGAGCATGACCTTCACCAGGTCTGATGGTGCCCCTATCCCATTCCTCCTGCACTTTGGGTCTTGGGCATTCGTCCAGATGCCCAGTGTACTTAGGGATGACTGGGCTGGGTATTCAAACCACAGCTGTCACGTGGGATCCAGTTTCTGTTGAAAAGTGCATTACTGCACCATGGAGCTGCTCTGAGTACTATGTTACTGTTTTCTTTTTCTTTATTTTACATTGGTCTGCTAAGAAATCTTATGGGAATCTATCGAAATTCTAAAACTGCTCCTGGAAAACACTGGGGAAACTCTGGGAGACATTGGGGTAGGACACCGAGGAAACTCTGGGAGACACTGGGGTAGTGAAAGACTTCTAAAATAAGACTCCCAACGCACAGTCAATAATCCCCAAAATAGACAAGTGGGATTACATCAGACTAAGAAGTTTTGGCATGGCAAAAAAAAACAAAAAAAAACAAAAAAACCCACAGTAATTAGTGTGAATAGAAGCACTCTGAATGGGAAAATATTTGTATAAGCTATGTGTCAGATAAGGGATTGATAACCAGAATTAACAAGGAACTCAAGCAGCTGTTCCAGAAAAAGACAATCAATCTTATTAAAAGATGGGAGAATGAGTTGGAAAAAAAAATCACTCTCTAAAGATGACATACGAATAGCTAAAAGGCATATGAAAAAATGCTCAACATCCCTCATTGTAAGAGAAATGCAGATCAAAACAACAATGAGATACCACCTAAGCCCAGTCAGAATGTCTAAGATTAAAAAAACAAGAAACGATTAGTGCTGGCAGGGGTGTAGTGAAAGGGGAACTCTCTAACACTGCTGGTGGGAATGTAAATTGGTCCAACCACTGTGGAGCATAATTTGGAGATTCCTCAAAAATCTACAAATAGAACTATCATATGATCTAGCAATCCCACTCCTTGGTATCTACCCAAAGGACAGAAGAATACTTAATCAGAAAAGTGCTTACACATCAAATGTTTATTGCAGCACTATTCACAATTGCTAAGTCATAGAAACAACCCAAATGCCCATGAACAGATGAATGGATAGAAAAACTGTGGCACATATACTCAATGGAATACTATTTAGCCATAAAAAACAAAACTCTGGCTTTTGACATGAAGTGGATAAATATGGAAGAATTACTGCTGAGTGAAGCAAGCCAGGCTATGAAGGAGAGGCATTGTATGTCCCCACTTAATATGTACCAAGTGTCTGTACTCTATGACTGAAACTAATTGACTAAAGGATATAGAAACAAAGTATCTAGATGTAAATACCAGATATAGTATGTGTGAAAGAGGAGGGTCTGAGGAAGGACATTTGGGGGATGGACAGGGAGGCAAAGAATTAATGGCACAAAGAGGTGTGGTATTATCTGTTGAAGATATTTTGTAGTTTTATCAATTGTACTAGGAAGTAATGTTCACCTGTTAAAATATCTACTTTGTAAGACAAATAATAATGTGATAGAATGTATGGAAGAAAATGAAACGAAAAAAAAAAATAAAAGGAAGAAAAAAAACTCTTTGTCAATTTACATCATTATCTATCTTACACCTAAGCCCCGGTTCTTCTCACTGTCTGTGAATTTACAACTATAATTACCTGACGTCCAAAGTGTTCAATATAAAGAACAATTGGTGACTTCCTTAATTCAATTGAGAATATACATTGTCCTGTGTCCCTTAATAACAGGGATATGTTCTCAGAAATAACCTTGTTAGGTGATTTCATTGTTGTGCAAATTTGTAGTGTGTTCCTAAACAAACTTAGACGGCATAGCCTACCATACACTTGGGCCATATGCTGTGGTCTATTACAATGTTAAGGAATAAGATCATATAGGCAGTCCATATGCAATGACATATGATAAATGAGAGGACTAACATAAAACATGTGACTGAATTTTAACAACAAATTTCTTACAATGAGATTTCAACATCATTTTTACCTTTCAATTTCTTTTTCCTGAGGGTTCGAAATGGTTGACTTTGCCTTATCATTTTCATCAGTAAAAGCTTTCTGTTCTTCATAGGTTTTTAGTTTTTCTTTTAACCTTAAAATCTAGAAGAGAAAACACTAATTAAAATATGAAAGTTATCTCCATTATACATCGTCACAGCAAAATTTTAGCTGTAAAAATAATTTTATAAGCCACATTTCAATTGCAATAGGAAAATAAGGTAAATTTTCAAACAACTAGGATTATAGACTCTTATAAATGAGAAACTGAGCGAGATTAGCATAGCAATGTAAAAAATACACATACCTCTGCCTTCTGCTCATTACAGATCTTTACATATTGAGTTATATGATTGTCAAGGTTAAGAACATTGCTCTTCAACTGTTAAAAGACAGAAATTATGATTATGTATACAGAGGTAATAATCACATAGTTACACACCTGAAAAACAGAGCACTGTATCTCCTTAAGTCGATTCCATGATCAATTATAATCAGGTTTAAAATCTATGACAAGAGGATATGCTGAGCACATTAATAATGTAAATGAAATTGTAAAGAAATGATCTTACTGAGAAAAGGATTTTTTAAGCACTCATAATACAAATTGCCTACTTTCCTTTTCCTCTGACTTCTAAGAAATTTAGAGTTAATTTTACATTCCACCTACTCATGAGTTCAATTAATTTGTACTAAATCCTTATTATATTTTATCTTTTTATAATAGTATGGGTTTCTGGGTCCATGGAATAGCTGAGAGAATATTAAACATATCGTTAGTCTAAATACTTAATTTTGATGCCCTGTTTATTTGTCACTCAGAATTAAGTGCTTAAAAATTCTCTGAGCATTGGCATACCCAACTATACACTGGAGCTAAATAGCCTTTCATGATGGAGTGATTTAAGGATTAAATGAAGAACGTATGAAAACCCCTGTATACTCATGCAAGGTGGCCTTTCATAATTAATTTGGAAATGTATTGGGAGTAGCACCAGAAAAAGGGAGGAGGGTGTCATAACACCAGTTTGGCTTTCAGTCTCTTCCTACACTGAGATCCTGTGATTTTGAACATATGTTTTGACTTAAATCTTTTTTTTTTTTTTTTGGAGGTTTTTGCTATAGGGCGTGTGCACTCGCCAGACAGAGACATAGAGACAGAAAGTGAGAAATCACCCCCTAGGGTGGATGGCTATACCGCAATCCCTTATCTTCTATTCTCTTCTTGGGATCTTAGGCATGCATGCACATGCGCTCAGCGGGCACATGTTTAAGCTACCGGGTCTGGGACTTGAACTGCGGTCGACTACATGGGAGTCCAGTGACATAGCCATTATGCCAACTGCTGGTCCCCACTTACATCTTTTTAAAGTAGCTTAAAATCTCTGGCAAAAATACTGACCTAATCAATCTATTATATTTCTGGAGCTATACAGAGATGGGTACATCAACATCACGAATGGGGAAATACATTATTTAGAAAAGACTATTTTATAAAGCGAGGCAGATACATCTGTCTTATGGATGAAGTAACTGAGGATCCAGAGCTTAAGTAATGAGTCTAAGATTCTCAGGTGGAAGGTGTTAGTGCTCAGCTCAAGCAGAGCATCTACTCTGGCCGCGGTGGAAGTGCTAATGCTCTGACTGATCGCTCCAGGGTGCTACCTAAGTACTGATGCCATGAGGTGAAAAAGAATCAAAAAAGGTACGCAACTCTCAAACAGTTGAATGATATTAGGTTGTCAGGAAAGTCATGGATGTAATTTTCTCTGTTTTTCTACGCAAAAATGCATCATGACTTCCCAGACAAAGTAATAGTATCTATTGCCTATAAAATGAAAATGCTTAACAGTTTAATTGCCTAAGCGGATGTTCAATAACCAGGTTAGTAAAGGCATTTCTAACCCCAAGTTGCTTAACTTATTAATAGAAAGAGAACCCTAAGTTTTTTGGAATTATAAAAATACTTTGCACTCCATACTCTCACAACAAAGGCAGAGCAAACACACTTACAGAGGATTTAATGTCCTTTGCACGGTTAGCATACTTCAGAGTGTTGTATGTGTCATCATAGAATACAGAGGAAGGACTAACAGCAGCTATCATTATAGTTTGACAGTTTCCTCCAAGAGAATCCTTTAACAAGCGAGTAAGCTTGCTATTTCTGTAAGGAATATGCTGATTTTTTCTCTGAAAGAACAAAAAAAGAATTCTTATGTCATTTTCCCCATTTAAATGCAAACCTAATACCACTTCACTATAGGAATTTAAGCATTGCCCAACTCTACCTAGACTTATAATTGGTGATTTAAATGATAATGAATCTTATAAGACCAATTGAGTGACTATATTAAACAAATATCCTATTCAAAAGGGTATTTCTTTTTTACTAAGTTTGATTTTTATTTCAAAATAAAATAATATTTAAATATTGGTTCATTAGTTGTGATAATGGTATTTCATATTAATGTGAATTAGTATGTGAATGTCTAAAATTAATGTGAAAAGTTAACAGGGGAAACTGTGTAGGATATATTTAACAAAATATAACTGTATTATTTTAGCAACTTTTCTGTAATCTGAAACTATTTGAAAATAAAACGTTTAAAAATATTTCCATTCATTAGAGACAAGTCAATTAAAATACAAAGTGAACAAATACACAGCCTATACAAATTTGCTAGAGGGAAAGTAAGAGTTCTGCGTGACACAGAGTTACTTCTCTTTCTATAACCATTCTGCATGAATCAGAGCAAGTGACAAAGCCAACATTCTGTAATACTTCACTTGAAATCACAATAGAGTTCTCAAACAATGTAATTTTTTTTTTTTTGGGAGGGGGAGAGATTTTTGCTATAGGGTGCCTGTTTGCCAGAGACAGAGACAGAGAGACAGAAAGCGAGAAACCGTACCCCCTACACACAAGGGGGATGGCCACATGCAATCCCTTCTCCTCTATTCTCCTCTTGGGATCTTGGGCATGGATTCACATGTGCCCGGTGTGAGTTTTAAGCTGCCAGGCCCGGGACTTGAACTGTGGCTAACTATGTGGAAGTCCAGCGATGTAACCATTATGACATTTGTTGGTCCCTCAAACAATGTAATTTTTCAAGATGTTCTTTTACTTAGAAGATGTACCTCAGATTTCAATATAACAAATTCTCCAAAAAATACAACTCCTTTTTTTTTTTTGAGAGGTTTTTGCTACAGGGCACATGTGCTCCCCAGACAGAGAGAGACAAAGAAAGCGAGAAATCACCCCCCAGGGAGGATGGTCACGCTGCAATCCCTTCTCCTCCATTCTCCTCTTGGGATCCTGGGCATGCACACACACGCGCCCGGCTTGAGTTTTAAGCCACCGGGTCCGGGATGCGAACCGTGGTCGACTATGTGGGAGTCCAGCAACATGGCCATTACGCTAACTGCTGGTCCAAAAAAATACTTCTATATACAAACATTCATTATAACGTTAAGCAATAAACAACTCTAACATTAATCCATGCACATCTTTCATATTATAGAAGAGGGAATTGAAGCTAAGCAAAAATGAGATGCCTCCCAAAGCTATTATAGAAATAGGTCCTGGAAACCAGCAGTTAGTGTAATGGCTGTGTTGCTGGACTCCCACGTAGTCGTCCGCAGTTTGCGTCCCAGACCCGGTGGCTTAAAAACCCCG